TGGAGGATTTGGATCTCAATATTTGGATACAGTGTCATAATAACCAGGGGGCTGACATGTGAGTTAAGCTCTAATGTCTTTCTGCAGCTACAAGTAAAATTCCAAAACAGTATCCAGAGGGGATGCAGGTCTTGAGGACAGGAGGTCTACAGTTAGGTCAAGCAGTAGAGATTGGAAGCCAAGTAAACAGTTTAAAGGAACACATTATGCACCCAGACCACTTCATCTCTTGTAGGTGGTCTGGGTGCTGTGTCTCAGTTAGACATGGGCAATTCATTTCATTCAGAATTTAAATTCGGACAAATTTCGGCAATTCAGACATTCGGATGCCGAATTGCGGAAGTGCCATAGTGCTTTGGATTTCTGAAAAATGGCAAAACAGGAGAGGGAGGGATAATTAAGGGAATGATGCCAGGAATCTGCCCCTGCCCCTAACCCTAACACTACCCCTACCCTTAGGGTTATGGTTAGGGTTAGGGGAAGGGTTAGGGAATTGCTGAATTCCCGAATTTCCGAAGTCCCTAATTTTCGGAAGTGCCAAACCAAATTTTTCGCCCATGCACATCTCTAGTCTCAGTTCCTATAACCCGGCAATGTAAAACATTGCAGTTTTTGAGAAACATGAGGACGTCTAGCGTCGTTTAACGGAATCAGATGTCAGATGACTCAATGCTTTCCTATGGGGAAGGCCTAAATTACTCACGCCTAAATCACTTTAGCTTGCTGAAAAGTTTTATGTGTGAGGAAGTTGTCCTTTATTTTTATTCTGCAAAAAGTGCAGATTTCAATAGAAATTGACACTTCTATTATTATTATTATTTTATTATTACTTGTATAGCGCCAGCAAATTCCATAGCTTCTATAAACTAACCATGTTACACACCCTCACCGGCTGTCAGACAACCAATCCTGTTACTTTCTGGTTGCTAAACTCAAGAGGCAGCAATTGCTATGAATACCTGTCTTGCAAAAACTTTATATTGAGCTGCATTGGGAAATCTATGATTGGGCAGCCACAGAAAGTCTGGGTTAGAAGGGGAGGGCTTGCAAAGGCTGTAGACAAGAAAAGGGCAGCTTTTGCAACCTACTTTTAAATATACCCCCATTGAATAATTGCATAAGTAAATGCAGGAACTTTTTTATTTGGGATATATCTACTAAATAGTGATTTTTATTAATTTTGTATTTGGGCAGTGGGGTGGCCCTTTAAGTCTGTTGGTAAAATAAAAAATATCATGTGTACCAGAAAATATGAAAATTAGTAAATTAAATAAATCTTAAAGGGAACCTACCACCGCTTACCTCAGCCTCCACTCCTCCAACATGATCTCGGCCCCTGCTCTTCCTGCTTTCCACTAATTTACACTGCTTGGGGACACTTCCTGTTACTATAGCCTACCTCCCAAAATTGGTATGCTGACCAGGACGGGTGGGAAAAGAGTGTCATTGATGACGCCCTCAATAGGCAGGTCCACCCCCTAGCCGGCAGGATCCTAGTGCACAGTGCAAGGGCATCATTAGACGCTAACAGAGGACAGTTCCCTGGTTTTCCTAGATGAAAGTCACTAGGGAACTAAATCGGGACTGGACACCAAAAGTGGGTCTTTTGAGGGGGGGGTGTAGTGGTTGTGGTGTCTGGAATGTTTCTTTTAATGAAGCTACACATACTTCATCATTTTGGAATCATGTGAAAATGTTTTTTGCTATGTTTTCCTTTTATTAATTTTTTTTGTTTTTTTGCATTATGTGATTCACTGAGACAATGTAAAACAAATATCTAAAGTGGTTTTGCAACGTTTATCCTCGTTTTTAAAGTTTGCTTTTTTATGTTCTGTGATGGAGACACAGTATGCTAAAAAAAATAAAAAATCTGTGGCATGTTCCTTTAAATAAGATGGCTACAAATATAGTAATGTAAGCTGAATTTGCAGCATGCCACTTTAAGATAAATAAGGATATAACAACTAAACTGAGGGCTATATGTGATTTGAAATATTATTTCTGATATTCTTTGACAATTCTATCTTGGCATTTTATGTTTTTAATATATCTCACTTAGAAACATAGGTTACAAATCACACTCAGTAGTAGTTTATCTCTGCTTAGACCCTTGAGGAACATCAGACAAGTATCAGTTATAGTTCATACTTTTTTGACAGATTTAATTTCCTATAATATACTAATGTGTTTTTGCACCTATGGAACTGTTTATATTTCTTTGTGTTTCTGACGGGGTGATATTCTCATGAGCACCCTGTTTACTATACACTGGTGTGTATACAGGTTTTCATCTTCTGTGGAACTGTTTTGTTTTTGCTTTTGTTCCGGTGGGGTCAATATTCTAAAGAACACCTCTAGTTAACTATATACCTGCATGGACTGGTCTTCCTGTGTTCAGTGCAATTTGTTTGGTGGTGGGAATGGGTGGTTGGCTATTGTAATTACTTATAATGCTACATAGTGTGCAATTGTTTGGAGGTCAGTTATCTTGAGAAAGAACCCTGTGGGGTCTGACATTGAAAGTAGATTTGAAATAAGTCATACAATATATTAATTATGCAGGCCGTTTAATTGCATTATCTTTTTTCCTTTGTCAGTATGCCTATGAGTAAAACATTGCATGCATACTGTTAAGGGACTTTTTGTTCCTGTTCTGTTGAGTAAATTATGTTCCCCCTTTGAAGTTTATTTAGGAAAACTCATTGTAAAAAAAAAAAAAACTTATTTTTTGCATGTAATCATTTTTAAAAAGGCAGTTATTAAATTTTGTAGAAATACCTTCTGAGCCATAAAAACATAACTTTCATTAGCTTCTGCAGCTGATAAAGATATACCTCTTTTTTTCCCCAGCATTTACTTCCTTTTTAATGTTCAGCATTGTCCACTCAAATGCTTCTCACAGAACAGTATTAACAAATGTCCAGTCCAAAGCTTCTAACAGACATGGGTGGTTTTATTGCGATTTAGGGATCCATATATAAAAAAATAAATTCCTGCTTTTAAGGCTGTATTAGTTAGTGCCGTTTTTACGTGTCCATTAACATGATAGTTTGCAATATAAAGCTGAACTAAAATTTTAATCAGGATCAGCCAACCAGTAATTGAGGTGATTGGAGTTATATTCTATGTAAGCTGTTTAGCAGGTGGCTGCACCTCTATTTTATCAGGTGTATAGTTTAACTTCATCTACAAAATGTTTAACTTCCACCAGCCTCCAAGAAACCAAAATTTCACTTGGCATGATAGGAGTTGTAGCCTTAAAGGAGAACATATATTCTTACAGCCAGGTTGATGGAACATACACTTTCACCAGTCCCTTGTGTTTTTTTCCCCCTCCACATAGGAAAATATAGGTAAAAAAAACCAGAAGCATTTATATTTATTTATCCGGGAGTTTATCACATTTCCTTAAGCGTCAGACAGCAGGAGCTATTGACACTGCATGTGTAACTCACCCAGTCACCAACCCTGACCAAGGCTCCTCGGGTTAGCATGCTGTGTGTGCAGACATTAGATGCAAAGGTTGCACAAAACCAATATTGCCTGCTAGGCAGAATAAGTATGCGTGAGTATTCTAGCTGGCTGATTGACAACCTAGAGAGGCCTCCCTACACATAGAGAAAAAAAATTGATTGAACAGCAGAATAAAACATTTTTTGTTTTAAATGAAAGGTTGCTGGGACAGGGTCTTTGCATTATAATCACTTTATAAAGATTAGGTAGTTATAGTGCATCTAAACTGATTTTGTTCTTAGTGTTTCAGAATGTGGTCTGGCTTGTTCAGTGTGTAGTTTTGTTTCATTTTTATATTTTTTAATTCTTTATTTAGGTTGTGCATAGGTTAAGAAGCAGATTTGCACTGCCACAACAGCTGGTGAACAATAGACAGTTATACATTAATGTGGCTTCATACACAATGCACTTTTTTATAGAAGAGTAAACAATAAGCTAGAGATACAGGTCTAGACTGACAATACCATACATTCCTACAGAAGGTTAACTCCATTCTAGACCAGGGGTAGGCAATCTTTTAGGAGCACTGTGCTGAAATAAGATTGTGATGTCCTGTAGCGTGCTGTTTTTTTTTTTTTTAAATTGAGGTGTGTATGTTGCTGTATTCTGCTAGTGTTATTTATACTGCGGTTGCTTTGTATTGTTGTATTTGTGCATATATGTGCTATTATATTGTATCTGTTTATGAGTAGTTTGTGGTATCGTGTATGATACCTACGAATGTGGGCTGCTTGTGGAATTGTGTGTGGATGGAAATGTCACATAGTGTGTTCGGTGGTGTGGGGCTGTTTGGGGGATTGTATGCAAGAGCCTGCATGTGGAGTTGTGTGCATCTATGTGGATTGTTAGTGGTCTTGCGTTTGTGCGGATTATGTGTACATTTTAGTGTGGGCTGTTCATATTATTTGTATGAGGGAAGGGTTATTCTGCAGCTCTGTGTATATCTAGCAGTGTGCTGGCCAGTTACAGGTCAAGGATAGGTGCTGCAACAGCAGCTGCGGGCTGCTCTACTATAGTGTGGACTCCCATTCACAAGTGCTGGAATGAGGTGATCAGAGATCACTTACTCTATGTGCTGAAATGCATAAATTGAGGAATGTCCTTCATCAACTTTTCGTATTCACAGATATCTGAAGTTTCACTGGGACTCCTGATAGGTCAGACCCGGTTTGGCTCTAGCTGCCTTGAGTGCCGTAAAAAGACACCTTGAGTGCCGTGCATGGCACACATGCCATAGGTTGCCTACCCCTGTTCTAGAATGATGATAGGAAAAACAAAAAGTTAAACTTGACTATTGTAGAAGATTCACTAAATTTAGAGTATTTCCCCCGGGAACCTCCCCCCAATGGCAAGACATATCAAGAGAGAGACTGAACAGAGGATTGAAGGCAAATAAAAGTAATTCTCCTAACGCTTGCTGGTAGGATGAGGGTGGAAGCGATCAGATGCTGTTTATCCTATGCCCTCCATGGGCAGAGCACAGTCCTCTATCCAGGTGCAATGCTGCGGGCCTGGCTCTCTTGAGTGGATCTGCTTGCTGCCTCTCTGACTCTCCGATGGCGTCTCTGCCAGGTTGGGACCAGACGCATTGTGCCATCTACCCTCCCAACCATGGATAGCACTGCTGGCGTTTTGCAGGGTCCAGCAGCGTGTTGATTTGGGGCAAGCCGTTGTGCCGTACTGCGCTTAATTGGAGCATGCTTTCTTTTCTGCTGGCATGCGGGAGCCCTCCCCACGTGTAGAGCCACTTTTCCTTGAGGGAGTTCCTGATGTGAGAGGGTGCTCGGCTGTGGCGGAGTAGGCTGCTGCAGCTTGCTTTCCAGTTGCTGCCAAAAGTGGAAGAAGTGCATGTCCAGTCGGATGAGTCTCTTGCTGTAAGCATCGCTGGAGACTGGGTGGCATTAGGCCTCCAACATCTTGGGTATGTCACTGATAGTCAGTGTTTCTGCTCGTGTTAAGCAGCATGTGTTGCTCTTGTTCTGGCCCAGCTTGGGCTTTAGTGTGCTGTTGAGAGATGTAATTGTTGGGCTTGTGGAGGAGCTCGTTTGAGACACATCTAGCCTCCATGACAGTCAGGGCCCACCCCCCTTGTTTTATTTTTCAAAACATTATGACGGTGTATTCAGGTTGATTGACTGACAGGGGTGTAACAGGGTTAATTCAGAAAAGTTTCCATTTCTATAGACTTTTGCACTTTTTGTAGATTTAAAAAAAAGAACACAATCTTCACACATAAAGCACTTCAACAGCTAAAGTGCTATAGGTGTTTTTTAATTGGTTTTAATCTTAAAGGAACACTACAAGCATTTAATTATTTTCCTAAAGCATGCACAATTCAACATACATACAAAAATACCCATGTTGTTTTATTTTTATTTTTTATAATATTTCTTTATTTTTATATACTTGTGGGCAGATTTTGGTATTTTCACAAAATATTACAATCCAGAGTTTAGAGATTAACACTGCCTCCCTACTAATCTGGATGAACTGAGTTCTGTAAATTTTTTGTTCTGTTATAGAATTTGTGAAAATTAACCCTCAGATTGGGCTGAGCTGAAAAATGACTTCTGTTTAAAAATGTGGTACTATATTTAAAGTGTGTCACATTCATAACATTATTTCCTTTTTGGGTGGTGAAATATAAATTGAAGGCTGCATAATTTTTCAAGAACAAAAATAGAAAATACTTTATGATGCTCTGATCTCATTTTGGATTTTTTTCTTTTTGTATTCATATTGCATTACTACCCTAAACTATGCAAGAGAAGTTTAAACTCTAAGTTAAAAATAAAAATGACTATGGTTATAAAAAAAAATGTGCATTTTTAAAAAAATGAATAACTTTTAACCGCAGCTAGTTTAGCTTTTTTACTTGTGTGTTAATGGAATTTAAACCATTAATCATGGGTCGTAGTGCCTATCCATAACATATGACTGTTGACATAATTCTTAGCATTTAGAGACAGCACAATCACACACACACAGGGTTGTTGACTAAAGTGCATTTTAAATTTAAGACCAAAGTAGCTGAAATTAAACCATAACGGACTTGGAAAATGTTTCCAGTTATGCTATTTTGGCCTTAAATTTAAAATTCACTTTGGATTCCCACTAATTCTCAATTTAGTGAATAACACTGACTTTTGTTTAATTCATCACCAGAATGTTGTTACGAATGTTTTATACGGTAAAATAGTCAGATCTGTTGCCATACAATCACTGGAACTGCTCCTTTAAGTATTTAAGTACAAATGTCCATATTATATTTTGTTTGAGTCAGATTGACTTGAAAGTGCCCGGTTGGTGATAAGGCAAAACAATATGAACACTTAACAGACTTGCATGATATCCAATCTTCGGCTGTCAACTTGGTGCTGTTAGCTATCAGGGAGTGTGCATTACCCTCTTTAGGAAACAAACTTAAAATGACATTGTCAAGGTACAACTTTGCCATTGATAATGGAAAATCTGCTTATTATTTGCAGTGTAATCTGCTCTCTGGAGGAATTGCCTTAAGAACCAACAATATTATAATAACATATCTCCCAAAAGATTTTTAAAAAAAAATTAATCTCAATATGCCTTTGCGACAGAACATGCTTTTAGAAAAATGAATAAAGATGTCAGTTGATTTTTAATAAACTCTATGCACTTGGAAATCAACAGTTTCAAATACAGCAAATATAACCTTCTCTCATTTCCTTTTTTATATATATAACAAAGAGGGTTTGTTTTTTTTAAAAACCTATGGAAAGGAAATTTCGCCTAGAGCAGCAGAAGATGATTCTTTACAGTACAAACAATAAAGATATCAAATTCATGGTTTAGAGAAGTTGTGCTATCAAATTCAATAGATGCCTTTAAAATATTGCTTTCTTGTCTAGTAAAGGATAAACCATACTATAATTAATGTAACGTATACTATATATTAAAAATAATCTCATTGATCCAAAATAATAGACAATTGACAGTTTGAAGTAAAGTTTTTTTTTCTTAATCAAGAATAGAGCTTAAATCGGTATAATTGTTTTGCATTTTTTAAACCTCAGCTGTCATATATATATATGATCTAAGTATATATATATACACATATACATACAAACACCGACTTCCTGGTTCGTGACGTCACTTCCGGCAAGACGCGGCGCACTCCTCTGATGTCACACACTGACTTCCGCCGGCTCCACAGGCCCACCGGCTCTCCAAACCCAGCCCGAACAGCGGTTTTCAGCCCGGCATCACCGGCCCCAGAACCCGGACCGGGCCCAGAACCGGATACTCGCCGGCCACCAACCCGACCGGCCTCTCCCCCCACCAGATCATTTTTGGTGCGGTAAGCCCATGTTAGTTATTTCCCTGCCCCTTAATCCTAGCGGTCCGCGAGGCCAACTCCCATCCTCCACTTCGAGGTACTATACGCCCCTCGTGCCAAATCATAGTTAGCCGCCTCGCAAATTATATAGAGAGGGCGACACCAGTCACCGCCAAATGCCCCCCCCCCACACGCATGGAGAGGCCAACGACCCATCACCGGATAGGCTACCACACCCCTCGCGCCAACTCATAGAGCCTCTCTAGCCACTTGGCACTAGCAGGGCCTCACCTATCACAAACCTAGAATAATCTTTCGCCATCTGGCACTAGCTAGCCACCCGTCAACTCCCAACCCTGGTTACCATACATGTCTATTATATTTTTCAGTATGTCCCTACTCCCAGACGATGGTGAGGATATGTCAATCCCTAGCACCCCTGCAAGGGCAACACGGGAAGCCCCTCGTCCATCAGATCATGGACTATCCCCCGCATCACTGCAGAATTACATAAACACAGTATTCCTTTCCCAGCTACTGCCAGGAAAGCAGAACTGTTCAAATTGCTAAGAACCAATACCGTTAATACAGACACAGGGGAAGGCACAAGCAGCTCTCAAGATCCGACTCTCCATGCTATGGTTGCCTCCCTAATCTCTTCTATGGGGAAGGTCAACGACAGGCTGGAGAGGCTGGAAGCCCGTAGCTTCCCCGCACAACCTCCGGGCCCTCTCTCCAAATTAATCCCCGCCATACCCACAGCAATAACAGGTAATTCCATAGCCACAAAAGCAGCCGCCCACGTTATTAATCCTGTCCACATGGTTCCGGCAAACCTAAAAAAGGACATCCTGGAAGGCAAGGACGTTAACTTAGTCTCACTGCTCATTGCCTCCCAGGATATCATGGAAAACCGGTCTTACGACTACGGGGACATCTCGGTGGTTTTAAAAGCCAGAGACCCCAGACTCCGTAAGAAACTTGCCATTCCTGATTTTGTGCTGGCTTTCGGTATCTTTAGAGATATTCTATGCACGGCTCATCCCCATAGGAGGGAGGAACTCGATCTATATATGCATAAGCTGGTGGACCTCGGTAATAAGTATGGTGGCTATACTTTTTACGATTACCACAAGTCCTTTTCATCAAAAGTGTCTGCCACATTGTCTCAGTACGGCATCCAGAGGGATTGGAGCCAACTGGACAATGAGCTATTCCTCAGACATTTTGCGGGTCTTAGGACACCAGCTTGTGCCATATGTACATCTCCCGCTCACACAGCTAATTTTTGCCCGCTCTGTCCAGACAGCGCTCCCGGCCCATCCTTGCATCATCCCACTAAGGCTGAGAAACAGACCAGAGACAAACTGGGTCGTCCAGTAGTGTATTTAGGCAAATCTCAGATTTGCAATAATTTCAACGAGGGCTCCTGCGGCTACAGCGCCTGCCGCTTATTGCACGTGTGCTCACGTTGTTTCAGGGCACATGCGAAATCCATGTGCCCTCATAAAATGTACCAGAAACTTTATTTGTCTCCGGTAAACGTTCCTTTACTTGCATGTATGCTATCCACTCACCCCTCCAAACACCTCGTTGATTTTTTATGTACGGGTCTCACCCAGGGTTTTCACACAGGGGTCATTTACATGCCAACTGGGGTATTAGAGTGTCACAATTTACAGTCTGCCACTAAACACCCTACGGCAGTCACCACACTGTTACAACTGGAAGTGGATCAGGGATTTGTCATTGGGCCTTTTGTTAACCCCCCCTTTTCCCTAACCCTATCGGGCTGGTTTCCCCCCCCTTTTCCCTAACCCTATCGGGCTGGTTTCCCCCCCCCTTTTCCCTAACCCTATCGGGCTGGATTTGTCATTGGGCCTTTTGTTAACTAACCCTATCTGGCTGGTTTCCAGCAAAAATTCTGAGAAACTAAGACTTATCATTGACTTATCCGCACCCCACTCCTCTGTCATCCCCAGCCTAAACTCATTGATTCCATCTGAGGAATTTTCCCTACAATACTCCACTATTGACGACGCTATTGCAGCTATCAGATCTGCAGGGTTGGGGGCTTGGCTCAGCAAGATGGATATTGTGAATGCTTTTAAATTATCACCCCTCTTTGTGGCACCTGCATGGCGTTAAGTGGCAAGACTCCTACTACTTTTTTACAAAGCTCACTTTCGGTGCCAAGAGTAGTCCCAGGATTTTTGACACGTTTGCAGAAGTTTTGTGTTGGCTCCTCCTCAATACCTGCAGGTGCCCAAATGTGATACACTTCTTAGATGATTTTCTTTTCATCGAATCCAATTCCACCCCCCCACGTAGCCTAGACAAAGCAACCAAACTATTCACATCCCTTGGTGTTCCCGTGTCACCCACTAAAACCGAAGGACCAGATACATTGATTAACTTTCTGGGTATTCTGCTGGATTCATCAACTATGATGGCCAGCCTCCCTAGAGAAAAGGTAGTTCACATCCTACACAATATTAGCCACTACATGCACAGGGGGTCCTGCATTCGTAAAGA